AATTGCAATCTCAGCACTTCCATTACACTGTATTCAGTCTGGAATCTTTAGATGAGATGCATAAACAGATATTAACTTGTCTGGAACTAGGAAGATAATTATACACATGATGCTTTGATGCCAGAAGATCTCTTGTTTAAGAAATATGCACACCTGGTCTATGACTATGCTCAAAAGCCAATACCATTGGTTGTGAATGAAATGACCTGATGATTTGTAAGAATTATTACAACACCCGTTAACAGGTACTATCTTTTATTGGCACAACTACAGTGGTCATTAAGTTAAAATCTATGCCAGCCAGAGTCTGCTTGATGCATTACTAGGAATATGTATCAACGGGTAAAAACTTTCGAGGACAAAATCACATCTTTTGTTTATAGGGTGTGTACATAGGTTATTGTACCAACTTGACAGTTTCAGCTTCAGCAAGCCAATCAAATGCTTCCATATAAAGGCCAAGATGACTTCATGAAAACGATTAGGAATCTACAGAGCAAGTTGGCAACTTTCCCAAATCCAACGCAAAATACTTTGAAGCAATCTTTTCTTTCATGGTTCTTATAGCAGGTCCCAACAATTCAGTATTAGGTAAGAGAACTAACACATGGCAATGACAAGATGAATACCTGTTCAATATAAGCAAACCAGAAATGAACCTTGGCTCTTTGATAAGGATCCTTCATTTGGCCAGGTTTAATGAATCTATTCAACAATAATTAGTCATTCGCATATTGGTTTTTCCATTATGGACAAGAACAGCGACCTTCTTGCTAACTGGATTATATTTGAGGATTTAGGGACTCTTCTACATACACAAATGTAACACTCTTGTTTCCATTGTCAGTTACCAAATGGGAGCTTCCTTTGCATCCTAGTATTTTAGGAATAGCCTCTTCAAATTCTTTATTAGTATTAAAAGGTCTACTAATACTGCTTTTCGCCGCCGGTTAATGGTTGATTGAAACAAATTATTTGATTTTTTGGTTCTTTTCTTTTTTGTCAACCAACACTCTGAATTACAAAGCAATGAAGCATAACATGATAAAAGCTTCATGACGAGAAAATGATTAAGAAAGACTAATTAGATGCAACTCCTGAATAACGCAGTATACCACAACACATGCCTCAAAAGGTTTAGAATAACAGAATGGACATCTGAGGGCGCCATGAAGGCCAAAAGAAAATAGAAAACCTTCAGCCATGACTTAGAGTTTGGCCAAGACAAGCTCCTATATTTATTGCCAAAGAACTTTCAATGATAATCAATGCATAATAAAGTTTGGCACAGGATTAGGTCAGTGTGCATATGGTAGCTTTGCATATTAAAGTTGGATAACCATACATTATCAACCAAACCTATAATTATAAGTCAATAGTCTCAAGTTGAAACTGCTTCTAAGTTGCTTTCTGAAGAACCAAAAAGGCTGCTAATAGCAGAATGTTTACGGATATGATGAGGGCACTTGAAAAGCAGATCCTTGGCCTCAGAATGTCTACCCTCATTAAAGAAGGACTGGAAAACACGCTGGTAAGCTGACACGGATGGATATTGCTTGTTACTTATTGCCATCAAACACCCCCAAGCATCATCCACAGAACCAAACTTTGAGACATACTGGATGATAGGTTCTGGATATGGTGGATAATTCTGTTTCTTCATTAGATGAAGAAGGTTCAAGGCTTCTTCAAGTCGCCTTTCTCCTAGAAGCTTTTCAATCAGATCCTTAAATGTAGCTTGCCAGGGTCTCACGTGAGCCTTGTCAATCATTTCCACGACTAATTGGTATGCTCCAACCACCCTCTTCTCTATCAGAAATCCATACACTAGAACATCTAAAAGATCAGCATCTGCATCAATGCCCTTTTCCACCATCTTTCCAAGCCATAGCAGTGCCTTGTCAACTTCATTAACTACACAATACCCCTTTATTAGTATGGTCCAAGTCTTGATATCAGGGGTACATCCTTGTGCTTCCATCACATCTAGTACTTCACAGGCTTCTTCTAGCCTCTTAGCTTTACAAAGTCCAAAAATCAATTGGCTGTAGGTGATGTTATCTGGTTCATAACCAGCATTTCTCATGGTCTCAAGGATCTTCTCTGCTTCATCAAACTTCCCAACACTAGTCAAACACCTATGAATCCCATCATAGTCATTCTTCAATAAACAATACCCAGCATCCTCATATTTCTTTACAACTCTAAGCATCAGATCTAAGTCAGGATCCTGAGCATATGCAATGGCACGCAAAAGCAAACTGCATTCCTTCTCCAAAGGCTTAAACGGACTATCCATCATATGCTCATAGAGCTCAACTGCATCCTTCACCATCATACTCTTCTGAAACTCCCTCATCACTTTCACATAAGTATCAATATCAATCTCATAACCAGCATCTTTCATCTCCTTAACCATACTCCAAAACTCCGTAACCACCTCTCCTTTACAAAGAATCCTAAGCATCCCATTATAAGTAACACTAGTATGCTCATACCCCAAACTCTCCCCAACCCATTTGAAAAAACTCAAAGCTTTCCAAGGCAAGCCTTTTCCTCTAAGTTCCTTCAACACCCTCAAAACAAAATTCTCCGATACCGAAAACCTCATGTCCTCCAACTCTCTCTCCAATTCACTACTCCAATCCGAATTCTTGACCACCTCAACCACCCTTTGCACAACAGTCTCCATAGCATTTTCTTGTATCATTCTCTCATAAAAATGCTTCAGAGCAGTAGCATCATTAATCAATTTCGAATTCCGAAAATCTGAGTAAATACTTGCATATGTCTCCTCATCAATATAATACCCCTTTTCTTTCATTTCTTTGATAACAACCCAAAATTCCTTCATTGCATGATTTTTAGCATAAATTCTCAGCATTAGACTATAAATAGAAGTACTTGGCCGAAACCCCTTTTCCTCAATGGCCCACTTGAAAAAGCTTGAAGCTTTTTCTGGTTCTTTACCTAATTTCATTAGAATATACAAAACAGTTTCATGGGTCAATCTTGGATTTAAACTTGATAGCTCTTTTTCTAACCCTTTAGCCCAATCCTTGGATAATAATTCATCAAAAATTGGCTCTGATTTTGTTGAAAAGAACAGTTTTCTATGATGGGATTCATGCAAAGAAGAAACTGGATAGAAAATTTTGGTGGGAAAAAATGGGGATGAGTGGTGAGGGAACCCAGTCACCTGAGTGTGGCGAGAGCGAGTCCTGAGCAGGTGAGTTGAGTGGAGCGAGTTGGCGACTCGGAGACAACTCAGGAGTCTCTTGGCTTGATGCTTCATGGTTGCTTAATATGCAGAGAATTTCTTGAAAAGGGATTTTATTGAGGGTTTAAGAGGTTGCGAAGTGGGATCGCGGTACTGGTAAGGAAGTCCCCGGACCCGGATCCAAGTGAATAGACAAGGGCTTTTTGGGAAATTAAGTTCAACGGTAAGCACATCAGTTAGACTACTTAGCAAATTTTCATAGTTATGCATTATTTCTAGTTGTGACATGCAAATGATTTTTTTCAAGCCCCACCACAAAAGAATTTTCTTTTCTCAGACCTAGTATCAAACTATTGATGTCAAACTATTAATGATTTAGACAATAACTATCGATATCAAACCTTTTTTTTTTGTTGCGAAAAGTGGTCATTACACTCATCAATGTGAATTTTGCTCCCCCTTTTTGGTTTTACATTTTGAGTTCATCAATTGATACTTTAAGAGAGGATTTGGTTGTTTCAATGACAAAACTAGGATTCAACCTAACATATGCCATGGGAAGAGATTACCTTGTTGGAAGGCATTCTTCATTTAAAGTTGTTGTTTCAATTGTGCTCATTTTGTCTAGTCAGCAAGGATCATAATCATATTAGTAATAGAATTAGCTCATATGCTCTAGATACAAATCAAGATGAGGAACTTTGGATTCTTTAGTATCGAAGTACACTAATTGTATAGTTCTATCGAGTCCTTATTTGAAATTATAAAACTTTTGATAATCTATAAAATCACTTATCATTTCGGAAAAAAAAAAAAAAATGCCATAGGAAGAGGGTGTTTTTTACCACCTTGAGGCAATGTCCTTGCCCTCTCCACTCAAACATTTGTCACTGTAAAAAGTCATTTTTTTTTCAAATTGCAGAATTCACATCCAAAATTTCCACCTAAACCTATCCTTTATCATTTGGAGTGTGGTGTGATATCCACAATACACATTCGAATTACACAGTTCAAGCTCGAATTCAAATGGAAGAGGGGCTCCTACTATAATCACAGTGTAGATTGTAGGGTGCAGTTGATGATAGGGATGATTTTAATTTGAAATTGAATAGATATGATTAATTTTGTGATACAACTTCAAAAAGTGTGTCAAATTGTATTCTACTTTTGTTGTATAGTGTTTTGCTAATGCCTATCTAAATTGTACTGGTGACTGCAAAAGGTCCGGATCAGTAACTGTACTCATGAGATGGGGATCACATTTGAAAGGAAGTTCTTGTTTTACACTATTCTCAGTGTAATGATTCTTGTTTCAGTAACTTTCTCCGAGTTAATACTCTCACTCAAGAACCTCAAAATTTTCATCTCTGAAAGATTAAAAAAGATAAAACAAATGGAGCAAGTCTGGTATTCTAGCATTTTAGCTGCCATAGATTCAGTAGCGATGAGTTTGCAGTATTGTATAACCATAACTTTTTGCTCAAACTTTGATGGACATTCGCAAAAATTTTCTCCACTAATTGATCATTTCATTTGTATGGACCTCCCAATCAATAAAAGTCTAAACGCGGGCTCTTTTCCAACTAAGAATTAGTAAACTGCGTCTTCCTTTCTAGCTTAGAAACATAAATCCTATAGAATCCTCAAAATTTTCGAAGTTACATCTGATCTCACTCAAAAACTTTGCGTTTCGATTGCATTTTTCATGGATTTTTCGTTGAAAAATTACTGTAGCGATTTGATGTATGTGAGGTAAAAAGATGATAGGAAAATGTGTTCACGGAAAATAAGGTCATTTTTCGATAGAAAATGACTATCCAAACAAGCCAAATTTAAATGATTGCATTGAACAACTTAACCGACAAAATGAAAAAAGGAAGAAGGTGTAGTTGACAGGAAAATAATCTGTTCCAACCAACCAACCATCTTTTGACTAGTGAGGAGAAACAACATCAGTAAGCCTTTCCATGATAAATACTAAGGAATGCATGACTCCATCATGATCTCAAGCTGAAGCTGCTACCACGTCGCTGCTCCTTGAAGAAGAAAAATGGATGCGAAATTCAGGATTTCTGCGAATATACTTAGGGCACTTACGAAACAGCTCCTCAGCCTCAGAATGTCTACCCTCATTCAAGAAGGTCTGAAAAACACGTTTGCAACCGAAGACAGATACATGGTTTTTACCCTGCCTGTGACTTAGTGCCCTCAAAAACACCCAAGCATCCTCCACAGAACCAAACTTCGACAGATACTGGATGAAAGGCTCTGGATCCGGTTTATAATTCCGTTTCTTTATTAGCTGTAGAAGGTTCAAAGCTTCTTCCAGGAGACAAGAAGCTCTTCAATCAGACTCTTAAGTGTAGCATGCTTTGGTGCCACACGAGCCTTGTCAACCAGTTCCACAAGAAACTGGTATCCTTCAATGACCCTCTTCTCTTTCAGAAATCCATTGACTAGAACATCCACAAGACCAGCATCTGCATCAAAGCCTTTTTTCACCATCTTTCCAAACCATAGGAATGCCTTGTCAACTCCATCGATATCACAACAACAGCTCAGTAGTTCGATCATCCCAGTCTCAACATCAGGAACACATCCCTGAGCTTCCATCTCATCTAGTAATTCAATGGCTTCTTTTAGCCTTCTTGCTTTACAAAGTCCAAAAATCAATTGTTTGTGGATGATACTAGATGGTTCATAACCAGCTCTGTTCATGGTCCGTACGATCTGCTCTGCTTCATCAAACTTTCCAGCACTCAACAAGCACCTGTGGATCCCCTCATAGTCCCTCTTCAATAAAGAATACCCAGCAGCTTCGTATTTCTTCACAACTCTAGACATCAGATCCAAGTCAGGATCAACAGTCGATGCAATGGCACGCAAAAGCAAACTACAGTCGTTGGGCAAATACTGAAATGGACTATTCATCCTATGCTCAAAAAGCTCAACAGCGTCCTTCACCATCTTCCTCGTCCGAAACTCCCTCATCACTTGAATATAAGTATCAGTATCAATTACATAACCAGCATCTTTCATCTCCTTGAACATACTCCAAAACTCCGAAATCGCCTCTTCCCTGCAAAGAAACCTAAGAATCCAATTATAAGTAAAATTATTATGCTCAAACCCCAAACTCCCCCGAACCCATTTGAAAAAACCCAAAGCTTTCAAAGGCAAACCTTTTTTACCAAGCCCCTCCAACACCCCCAAAACAAAATTCTCCTGCACTGATATACCATTCTCTCCCAATTTTCTCTCCAATTCACCGCCCCAGTCCGAGTTCTCGGCCACCAAATTCACAGCTCTCTTAATAGCAATTTCAAGAATCAATTTTTGATAAAAAAAAAGCTTCAACTCCTTAGCATCATCAACCCTATCCAACTTAATAAGTTTCGATTCTATAACTAAAAACGCCTCCTCATCGATATAATTTCCCCTTTTTCTAACGTTTTCAACAACAACCCAAACTCCTCCATATCATTACGTATAGCACACGATTGCAGCTTTAATCTACATCCTGAAGAACATGGCCTGAACCAACTTTTCCCAGCAGTTTCCGACTGGGAAAAGGGAGAATTTGCATTGTCTTCTCTCTGTAACTCTGAGAAAAGCACTCTTTCTGACTGTCTGTCTTCTACCATCTTTTGAAGCTGGGATCTAAGAGCCGAATAACCACTGTCATGGGAACTTCGGGTGAAAAGAAAAGGGGATAAATAGTGAGGGAACCGAGTCACCTGAGTGTGGAGAGAGCGAGTTCTCAGCAGGTGAGTTGAGTGGAGCGAGTTGGCGAATCGGAGACAACTCAGGAGTCTCCTGGCTTGTTGCTTCATTGTTGCTTCCGCCGTCATTTGCAGAGGTTTTCTTGAAATGGGATTTTTTTTTTTTGCGGGTTTTAGGAGTTGGAAAGTGGGTTCCTGGTACGGGTAAGGAAGACCCGCATCCGGATCCAAGTAAACAGATGGCCTTTTTTGGAAAATTAGGTACTACATGCTAGTCTACGGCTTTACGCAAGAGAAGTTTGTGCCAATTAAAAATTGTCCCCATCTGAACTTATATTTCTTGTTTTGCACCCGCCACCCCTTGCCAATCTTTTCCTATGTGATCCATATAATCCAATAGTCTCAAATTTAAAGTTACTTCATCATGATGCATGTGTTCTTGAAAAAAAAAAAAAAAGCTTTAGGAATAGGTAATGACCTTCTTAATGAAATATCTTGAAGAATTATGAAAGAGAAATTGGTACAAGTTTGCTATCTTATATATATGTTGATTAGTTTTATTTATTTATTTATATTAAGATACTTCTCTGACATAAACAATGCCTGAGGCAAACATTTATACAAGTGATTTGTTATGAAGCCCTCTAGAAAAAGAAAATTCTTTACTGAAATCAACTATTTGGATAGTAACTATTATTCCCAGATTTATCATCATTTTCATAAGAACAAGTCATTAGACTCACAATTGCGAATGCTTTACTTGTTCAAATGTTATCCACATGGTCAAAGATAATTGCCTTTGATTTTGAGAGCCAGTTCCACTATCTTTCATTATATAAGAGCTTCCCACATTCCAATTCACTATTCCATGATAGTATTTTGAGGAACATTCACATTCTTCAGTTTTTGAGGAATGACAAGAAAATAATTTGTTTCAACCAACTTCTAACTGGTGCGATAAAAAAAAAAAGGCATTAGTAGACCCCAAAATTCATATGATACAGATATTGAATCATTTGTAACTGTCCAAAATTCTAAGTGTCTGATCTCAGAGAAGATAATGGAAAACTCCATTTGGCCATCCGGGTAAAGAGTCTTTCTGCCAGCCATGATGAACAAAAAGGCGAACAATGACTGTAAGAATAACTACATAACCAATACACCAATTTCAAAGTATTCTACTCTACTTGTTGGACAGAATGTGAAAGAAATTTGAGGCCAGATTAGCGAATACAGCAGGAGAAAAGTACATACAATGCAAAGGAGCACTGCAAAAGAAAAGTAGGAGAACATGATTCAGCAAATGAAGATGTATAACCATGGAGGAGAACCTTCTGGACATGCGAATACTGAGATAAAGAGTTTGGAAAGCAGATAATGCTGTGAAATGTTCGTCATGAAGACTCTGCACATTGCCAAATCATGTCATGAAAAGAAAATGATTTGCAGATAGAGCAAGCACATACATTTCTTGAAAGATGCAGTATATACAATCGTATCCCTCCCAAGACTTAGATGTTAGATTATATATCTGAGGGTCTTTCAAGGCCAAAAGGAATAAAGGCCTTAGCCATGACTCAGGAGTTTTGGCCAAGACAAGCTCCTAGTCATTACTATTCCTCTACTCATTGCAAGAGAAAACTTTCAATACTAATCTACACTCTGCAAAGTTCAGCAGTGCACATGGTACCTTTGTAATTACAACCTTATGAACATTTAGGTATCAACTAAACACGTACTTCTAAGTCATGATCTCAGGCTGAAGTTGCCTATAGGTTGCTGCTCTATGAACCAAAAAGGATGCAAATTGCAGGACGTCTGCTAATATGATCAGGGCACTTTAAAAGAAGCTCCTTGGCCTCAGAATGTCTACCCTCATTGAAGAAGGACTTGAAAACACGTTGGCAAGCCAAAACAGATGGATATGTTTTTTTACTTAGTGCCATCAAAAATTCCCAAGCATCCTCCACGGAACCAAATTTTGAGATATACTGGACAAAAGGCTCTCGATATGGTCGATAATCGTGTTTCATCATAAGCCGAAGAAGGTTCAAGGCCTCTTCCAGTCTCCTCTCTCCGAGAAGCTCTTCAATCAGATTCCTAAATGTAGCGTGCCATGGTATCATGTGAGCCTTGCCAACCATTTCCACAACTAACTCGTATGCTCCAATGACCCTCTTCTCTTTCAGAAATCCATATACTAGAAAATCCAAAAGACCAGCATATGCATCAAAGCCTTTTTTCACCAAAATTCCAAACCATGGAAGTGCCTTATCAACTCCATTAACATCACAATACCCTTTTGTTAGTGTGATCCAAGTCTTGATATCAGGAATGTATCCCTGCACTTCCATCATGTCTACTACTTCACAGGCTTCCTCTAGCCTCCCTGCTTTACAAAGTCCAAAAATCAATTGTCTGTATGTCACGTTACACTGATTATAACCGGCCCTTCTCATGGTCTGGATGATCTTCTCTGCTTCATCAAACTTCCCAGCACTAGTCAAACACCTATGGATCCCCTCATAGTCACTCTTCAATAAACAATACCCGGCTGCCTCATATTTCTTCACAACTTTAAACATCAGGTCCAAGTCTGGATTAATTGTCGATGAAATGACATTAAAAAGCAAGCCACACTCCCCCTCCAAATACTTAAATGGAGTACCCATCCTATACTCAAAAAGCTCAACCGCGTCCTTCACCATCTTACTCTTCTGAAACTCCAACATCACTTCAACATAAGTATCACTATCAATTACATAACCAGCATCTTTCATCTCCTCAAATATACTCCAAAACTCCGTAATCGTTTCTTCCGTGCAAAGAATCCTAAGAATCCGATTATAAGTAGCATTATTATGCTCAAACCCCAAACTCTCCCCAACCCATTTAAAGAAGCTCAAAGCCTTCAAAGGCAAACCTTTTCCCTTAAGCTCCTTCAATACTCCTAAAACAAAATTCTCCTGTACCCATATCCTCATTTCTCCCAATTTTCCCTCCAATTCACTACCCCAATCCAAATTCTGGGCCACCATCTTGGCAACTCCCTTAATAGCATTTTGAAAAACCATGTTCTCATAAAAAAGCTGCAACTCAGCAGCGTCATCATCCCTTTTCAATCTCCTAAGATCCGAATAAATATCTAAATATGTCTTCTGACCAATATAAGTTCCCTTTCTTTTACAACTTCTGACAACAACCAAAAATTCCTTCATTCCATCATTTATAGCACACAACTTCAGCTGTGAATTATAACTTGATGAACATGGCCTAAATCCATTTTCCTCGGCGGCCCACCTGTAAAAGAGTAAATCAAATTTTGGGTCTTCATGTAATATCCTCATAGAATCAGGCAATCCTCGATTTTCTGATAAGATTTCATTACTTAATGCTTCTGACTTCCGTGATTTGGACAGCTTTTCAATTTGGGATCTTAAATCCAGCAAAGAAAGGGAAAGGGAACTTCGGGTAGAAAGAGAAGGGGATGAGTGGTGAGAGAACTGAGTCACCTGAGTGTGGAGAGAGCGAGTTCTGGGCAGGCGAGTTGAGTGGAGCGAGTTGGCGAATCTGTGACTAGTCAGGAATCTCCTGGCTTGATGCTTCATTGCAGCTTCATCTGCAGAGGTTTTCTTGAAGTTTTCTTGCGGGTATTAGATATGGGTGGCAATGGGGCGGGGGACACGGCCCCCAACCCCCGCCCCGTTGCATTTTAATTTGGGTTAATTACATTTACCTCCCCGAGATTTGACCAAATTACCAATCAAATCTTGAGGTTTGACAAAATAACAATCAAACCCTCTGACTAGGCAAAACTTTATCAAAAGCATCCCTACCGTCTGGAGTCGTTAGTGAAGCTGGTAAGGTTAGCAAAAAATTAGCGCGGCAATCCCAAAATGCCCTTCTAGAGGCATTTTATGTTTTACATAAAAAAAATATAAACCAACAAATTGAATAAAATAAGAATTCACCTCAAAATAATAAAAAGAAAAGGGAAAAAAAGTAGTGTGGTAGACTCCCTTTCAAGTCTGCAACTTCAGCGTCTGCATCTCCACCAAAATTGTATGTTAAATTGCTTCCAACCATTAACCCTTCTTTGCCGTCAATTCTATCACATATTCTAATTCTTCCATCTTTTCTCCTCCTCATCCATCTTTCTAAACCAAAGTCGTTACCTTTTCCTCTTCCATCCAATTTTTTATTTCTTCTTTGGTTAAGCCATTACGAACATATGAAGATACAGACATTATAGTGCTGGATTTGCACCAGAATTGGTAGACCATGTCTAGAGAAATCATTTGGTATTGCTTAGATACACAAGTGAAACTATTATCTTCAAAATGTCTTGGCTACTAGATATGGAATTTTTGTTTTTTTCCAGTTTTTTGTAAGTTGAGATTTGGAAGTTTGTCCTTCATATCATTTGAAAGGCTTGTCTTAAATTTGGTAAGGGATAGGAAAAAGGCTCGTGTTAAATTTGGTGAGTGATACCAAATGGGTTTTTGAAGAAGGTAATGGAGTAGCCGGTGATTAATCTTCACTTGCAATTTTTTAAATTTTTTTTTTCTTTTTTTTTTTCAATTTTGAGGTTAAAACTTGCTGTCCAAAAGATGGAAGTAGCCAACATTGATTCATTTGACTTGTTCGTGTTCTACCCCAATGAGAAGTGCTTTACTGCAAAAGTGTGGAATTTGGTCTTTGCTTCCGATGGGAAAGGCAAGACAGATCAGCCTCACATGTAGGCCTATTTGAACAGTTATGCAGTGAGTTTTGGTTGAGTTTGTATCAAGAATGGCAACCCACACAAAAGAAAGATGAAGAGGCTGGAGTCGACGATTGGCGACGGTGGCAGGCGCATATGGCTGATGATGGATGCAGCAACAGCAGCCCAAACATTCCTGCTGCCATTGTTGTCACCTTTAAGGGTTCCAGAAAATTGGAAAAAAAAAAAAAAACAAAGAAAAGAAGGTACACGATGTTTGTAAGACAGGCAGTTTCAACTATTTTGGGTATGTAGTCATTTTACTCATTCCGTCACGGACATTTAACAGAAGTTAGTGATAGGGGTTTATTTGTTATTTGACCAAACCTCAGGGTTTGACTGGTAGTTTGGTTATACCTCAGGGGAGATAAATGTAATTAACCCTTTTAATTTCCCCGCCCCCGCTCCCGTCCTATTCTACCCGTTTTTTCCGCAGGACACCCGTGAGATTAAAAAAAAATTATTATATAATTTCATTATAATTAAATTAAAGCAAATAATCAAGTACTAAAATATCAACACATTATCAAATTATTATTCATTCTAACTTCACAATTAAAACTCATAAAA